GTAGGTGAGGCCCAGGTGCGCAGATTGAGGTGATTCAGCACGTGGTTTTTGCCTAACCAGTGGGTCATTGGCTCAAGGTTGGATGCTGAGGTGTGAGGGCCAGAGCCAGGTATTCAGTAGCTAGTAGAGCCCGGGAAACAAAGGGGCAGGAAACAATTCTTCCCCCCCCCCCCACTTACCCTCCCTCCCATCCTCTCCTATACAGTTCCCTCACAGAAGGGTTTCTGCTTGTGGAGCTGGGACACAGATGTCATCGGCATGTGCTGAATGAACAAACGGGTCACGTCAGCATCTGCTCTCTAGATTTGGGAATGGCTAATTTATTCCTGGTGGGTTTTCATTAAGAACTGGAGAAACCAAAGAACTTGAAACATTCTTTAGCCATAGGATCTTCAAAACATCAGATTGAACAAAGACGTTTCTGGAAGCTCTTTGATTCTAACCTCCACTCCCCAGGACATCCATCATTGAAGGTCAGAGGTCAGCCAGAGGTGAGCGGGGAGGGGTCTAGGACTTCCCTGGATGGCGGTGCCCTGCAGATGTGGTGAAGAGGGCTTTCGGGAGCACCAGCCCTGCGCAGCCTGGAGCCGTTCGTCTGCCCATGTTTGGACAGCTGAGGAGGTCAATGATAAAAAAAGAAAAAAAATGGGATCCACATTCCAAGCATTCCACTTCTGGAGAGAGTAAATATGAAGAGTAAAATGAAGCCAGGTTCAGAGAGAGACCTGCGACGTATCTGGCTGAGATTCCGCTAGCAGCCGTAAGCTATCTCTACACAGGCCAGCGTGGAGGTCACTGTGGAGGTGTGTGCACGCGGTTCCCCAGGAAACTGCATTCCCATGCAGCGCCATGGGAAACAGACGGCATGGCAGGTGGGTTGCTCAGGCCCCCCCCAAACTCCTGCCCGGGGGTCTGCACGTGGTGGAGTCTCCTGGGTCTCGGGTGGAAAAGGCAGTCCTAACAGCCATGCCAGAGCAAGACCCTGGGTGGGACCCCCACATCCCCTGTGGTCCTGCGGCTCACAGAAACCCTGAGAAAAGTCTGTGCTGCCGTCAAGCGCTGCGCGGGCACCGATGTGTGACAGCACAGTAGAAACGAGTCCGTATCACCTCCAAAAGCGAGTGTCGCTGAGCTGAGAGAATTCCCTGCCTCTTTCAGACAGTGGAGGATTGCTGCTGTTGTAGAATGCATCCTTGAAAAGCCAGAGTGGGAGGCCAGCACCGGCTCAAGTCTGTCATCTGTGATGAAGACAGTGGTTGTCACCCCAGCCCCAAGAGAAGCACAGGCCTCTGCAGCTGGGAGGGCGCAGGGAGACAGGCGGCTGCCCCGGGTACCTCTTTAGCTGATCCGCCCCTGGGCCGGGCTTGAAGGAACAGGCGAGGCCACTTCTGGCAAATGAATTCTGGGAAGGAGCTGCCGACTGCCTCTGCAGGGCAGTTCCTCTGAGGAAGGGCGGGAGTGTGAAGCGGCCGTCGACGTCTGTTGTGTGCCTCTGAGTGTGTGCCACATCCATGTGGACGTCTGCCTGTGTGTAGATATGTGTGTGTACAGATGTGTTACATGTGTGTGGCTCTTGAATGGGCATGTGTGTACACATGCATGTAGGTCTATCCATGGATATATTTATGGCTATGGATATATGCCTCTGTGTGTGTGTGTGTGTGTGTGTGTGTGTGTGTGTGTGTGCTTGTATAGTCCGGTAGTTGCCCAAGAAGACCAGAAGGCAGAGGGAAGGAGTCCTGGGGGAGGAGGCCACGGAGCTTCCTCATACACAGCTCAGACATGGGGAGTGGCCTGCCAAGCTGTTGGGGAGGGCAGGGGGGAGGTGGGTGTGGGGGTGGGAGGGGGGAGGGGGCAGTGACCTAAGACAACCAGCACCCCAGGGGGGAGGGGAGGCTTCCTGAAGTGGAGGTTCCTCAAGCCGCTCCCTGAGGATCAAACTCATTTTCCCCCCCTAGGATTCTGGAAGAGTTACTTTTGCAATCCAGGTTGAAGTACTTTTGCTATATTAGTAACACAAAAGGTGGCAGTGTGCACCATGAGCTGGGGTACGTAAAGGACGAGGGGTCCAGACTTTGTGCGTGCATTCATCTACCCTGCTCATTCATTCATTCATTCATTCATCTACAAGGTGCACTGAGTCTTCCATGTACACGCCCTTGACTTCCAGGTATAACCACGTCACCCTACGGAGCCGGCCTGACATTCTGGGAAATGAGCGGAGCACACCTGGGCCTGGAGGTGCAGTGAGGGCGGGCGGGAGGAGAGCCCGCCCAGAGCGGCCGCAGGTGTGGCACAGGGCTCTGTCACACACAGGAGGCCACATTAGGGCCACAGGGACCCACATCTAGACAGCCTTGTTCAAACAGCTGGAAGGGGACTCTCACATGGTTTCTGAGGGCATCATACCAACTCCGCCCTAACCCTGGTTATCCTGTGACCTGTAGCAATGAAGCGGTAATTTATCAGGGAAGAGCAATTAGTCCTTCTTTAGGCAAATCTTAAGTGGAAGCTTGTGATCACAGGCCCACTGTTTTTTTTTTTTTTTTCCCTAGCATGGCTGCGTTCCCCTCTCCCCAAGAGGCCGTTCACCATCCAGCTTCAGGAAAAGCAGCTTTCTCTCCAACTCTCTGTCATCAACCAGGGCCACCTGGCTATAAATGTGATCGATAGGGCCCAAAGCACTACTTTTACGTCAGTAAATCCCTGAGGGACACTCCAGGAAGACACCGGGCAGGAGTGACTGCCAGCAGGAGGAGTTGCTCTCTGGCCTTTCCCATCTGGCTTCTGCAGCCTGGGAAGGAAACGCAGAGCAGCCCAGCTGGCTTTGAACCTCAGTCCTCAGACCTCAGCCTCTTAAATAGCTGGGCTGGCAGGTGTAAGCCATCAGTACCTGAGCTCTCTTTTCTTTCTTTATTCCCCTCTCTTTCCTACTTTTTCTTCCTTCCTTCCTTCTTTCCTTCCTCCCTTTATTCCTTCTTTTATTTGTTTCTTTCTGTTCACGGTAGTGGGGTTGGAATTCAGTCTCAGACTTGCTAAGCAGGTGCTCTACCACTTGAGCCACACCCCCACACTCTTCTCCTTTCTTCACACTTGACCAAGAACCATCTACCTACTGCTAATCTTTTCCATCTCTCCTAAGCTTTTCCTTCCTTTTACTATCCTATGAGTGGCCCATTGTTTAGGGCTCCCAGACCCCCCAAACAGGGTACATTTTATTCATGAAATGTCAGAACAAAGGCTTGTCCTCAGCCCATGCCCCCCCCCACTGCGGCCCCTTCCCCATCTACAGGCAGTGCTGTGTTTGAACCCCAAACTTCAAGGGCGGCCACTGGGCCCCCGCGACGTGAAGCTGCTGTCTGGAGCTAAGGGGTAAACGCATTCACTCCCGGGCACGCTGGTTTTTCTCTGTGTTGTCTTCTCCCGGCTTTGGGCTCGGCTTCCATGCGGGCCCCACCGCCTCCCGCAGCCAGGAGCAGGCCGCAGCCTCCATCCGCCGGCCTCAAACCCCCAGCCTCCCGGAGTCCGCCTCCCAAGTGGCCAGGGTCTCAGTGTATCTGTCATTGGCCCCAGCGAAGAAACACCTGTAAGGGGGGGGGGGCGCGGGGCGAACCCCCGGAGCCAGCTCCACGTTGTCCGAGGAGACCCCAGGACTCTGGGTCCCCATGGGTCCTCTAAGTGGCTTCCAAATAAAGAGCGCTTGTCCCTGGGCGAGGCCCGGTCAGACAGCCCCGCGCAGCCCTCCACTCGGGAGCGCGGTCCTCCTCCACTCGGGACGGCGGCGGGATGGGCGGAAGGGCGCCTCGGTGCGGAGGAGGCCGTGGTCGCGCCAGGGGAGACGCCCATGGGTCTGTGCCCCGTCTGCCCCGCCACACCACGCCCCCATCCGCCACGCCACGCCCCCATCCGCCACGCCACGCCCCCATCCGCCACACCACGCCCCCATCCGCCACGCCACGCCCCCATCTGCCACGCCACGCCCCCATCCGCCACACCACGCCCCCATCCGCCACGCCACGCCCCTGTCAACCACGCCCTGCCCCCATCTGCCACGCCACGCCCCGGCGCCACTCCCCAGGGGCCCCGGCCACCCTGCCCCGCCCCGTCAACCACGCCCTGCCCCCATCTGCCACGCCACGCCCCTGGCCGCCACGCCACGCCCTGGCCGCCACGCCCCCGGCCACCACACCCTCGTCCGCTACGCCACACCCCCGTCAACAATGCCACGCCTCATCTGCCCCACCTCGCCCCTCCCCCTGCCCTGCTCCCGGCAGCCACGCCCCATCTGCCACGCCACGCCCCCATTTGCCTTGCCTCACCCCCGTCCAGCACACGATGCCCCGTCAACCACACCACGGCCCCGGCCGCCACGCCACGCCCCCGTCAACAATGCCACGCCTCATCTGCCCCAACTCGACCCCCCTGCCCTGCTCCCGACAGCCACGCCCCATCTGCCACACCACGCCCCCATCTGCCTTGCCTCACCCCCGTCCACCACACGATGCCCCGGCGGCCACACCACGCCCCCGTCCACCACGCCACGCCCCCTTCAGCCACGCCCCACCCCCAGCCGCCACGCCCCACCCCCGCCGCCACGCCACACCCCTGCTGCCCCGCCACACCCCCGGCCGCCACGCCCCCTTTGGCCACACCCTCCCCCCAGCCGCCACGCCCCACCCCCAGCCGCCACACCCCACCCCCGGCCGCCACGCCCCCTGCTGCCCCGCCACGCCCCCTTTGGCCACGCCCGCCCCCCAGCCGCCACGCCACGCCCCTGCCGCCCCACCACGCCCCCGGCCGCCACGCCCGCCCCACAGCCGCCACGCCACGCCCCTGCTGCCCCGCCACGCCCCCGGCCGCCACGCCCCCTTTGGCCACACCCTCCCCCCAGCCGCCACGCCACGCCCCTGCTGCCCCGCCACGCCCCCGGCCGCCACGCCACCGCCTCCACAGATAGCCAGGCTGGCCTTGAACTCTCCATCCTCCGGCCTCAGCCTCCCTCAGTAGCTGGGAGCACAGGTGTCTCCGCTGCTCCGCCGCGGGGAGCCGTGGCGTGAGTGGTAGTTGCGGGACCGCCCTTTCACCCCCCTGCGGCGGCGCTGGGGCGGCCGCAGCTCGGGGCGTTCCCGCACCACACTGGGCCGCCGCAAGTGCAGCACCTAAACCTCCTTTAAAGTAAACTCAGCAATAAGACGGAGACCCTTCCATGGCACCCCGGCCGGTGGCACCGCCCTGGGTCAAACCCAGGACTCCGCGGGTGTGGAGAGTCCGAAGGCGGCCGCAGAGCAACCAGCCTGAGCGGGAAGGACGGCACTGGCTGCTCGAGGGGCCGAGGGGGACTGACGGTTCCGGAGGAGATCCGTGCCCAGGGCCCAGAGAGCGCAGAGGCCGGGGTGCGCCCGGGCGGGAGACAGCGCGGCCTGGGCGGTCGGGCGACATGCTCCCCCGTGCCGTCTCTGCTCTGGCTCTCCCGTGCCGTCTCTGTTCTGTTCTCCCGTGGCGTCTCTGTCCTGGTTCTCCCGTGGCGTCTCTGTTCTGTTCTCCGTGGCGTCTCTGTTCTGGTTCTCGGTGGCGTCTCTGTTCTGTTCTCTGTGGCGTCTCTGTTCTGTTCTCCGTGGCGTCTCTGTTCTGGTTCTCCGTGGCGTCTCTGTCCTGGTTCTCGGTGGCGTCTCTGCTCTGGTTCTCCGTGGCGTCTCTGTCCTGGTTCTCCCGTGGCGTCTCTGCTCTGGTTCTCCGTGGCGTCTCTGTTCTGGTTCTCGGTGGCGTCTCTGTTCTGTTCTCCCGTGGCGTCTCTGTCCTGGTTCTCGGTGGTGTCTCTGTTCTGGTTCTCCGTGGCGTCTCTGCTCTGGTCTCCGTGGCGTCTCTGTTCTGTTCTCCGTGGCGTCTCTGTCCTGGTTCTCCCGTGGCGTCTCTGTTCTGTTCTCCGTGGCGTCTCTGTTCTGGTTCTCGGTGGCGTCTCTGTTCTGTTCTCCCGTGGCGTCTCTGTCCTGGTTCTCTGTGGTGTCCCTGTCCTAGTTCTCCGTGGCGTCTCTGTTCTGGTTCTCCGTGGCGTCTCTGCTCTGTTCTCCCGTGGCGTCTCTGTTCTGTTCTCCGTGGAGTCTCTGTTCTGTTCTCCGTGGCGTCTCTGTTCTGTTCTCTGTGGCGTCTCTGTTCTGTTCTCCGTGGCGTCTCTGTTCTGGTTCTCGGTGGTGTCTCTGTTCTGGTTCTCTGTGGCGTCTCTGTTCTGTTCTCCGTGGCGTCTCTGTTCTGGTTCTCCGTGGCGTCTCTGTCCTGGTTCTCGGTGGCGTCTCTGTCCTGGTTCTCCCGTGGCGTCTCTGCTCTGGTTCTCCGTGGCGTCTCTGTTCTGGTTCTCGGTGGCGTCTCTGTTCTGTTCTCCCGTGGCGTCTCTGTCCTGGTTCTCGGTGGTGTCTCTGTTCTGGTTCTCCGTGGCGTCTCTGCTCTGGTCTCCGTGGCGTCTCTGTTCTGTTCTCCGTGGCGTCTCTGTTCTGGTTCTCGGTGGCGTCTCTGTTCTGTTCTCCCGTGGCGTCTCTGTCCTGGTTCTCTGTGGTGTCCCTGTCCTAGTTCTCCGTGGCGTCTCTGTTCTGGTTCTCCGTGGCGTCTCTGCTCTGTTCTCCCGTGGCGTCTCTGTTCTGTTCTCCGTGGAGTCTCTGTTCTGTTCTCCGTGGCGTCTCTGTTCTGTTCTCCGTGGCGTCTCTGTTCTGGTTCTCGGTGGTGTCTCTGTTCTGGTTCTCTGTGGCGTCTCTGTTCTGTTCTCCGTGGCGTCTCTGTTCTGGTTCTCCGTGGAGTCTCTGTCCTGGTTCTCCGTGGAGTCTCTGTTCTGGTTCTCCCGTGGTGTCTCTGTCCTGGTTCTCCGTGGCGTCTCTGTTCTGGTTCTCCGTGGCATCTCTGTTCTGTTCTCCGTGGCGTCTCTGTTCTGGTTCTCCGTGGCGTCTCTGTTCTGTTCTCCGTGGCGTCTCTGTTCTGGTTCTCCCGTGGCGTCTCTGTCCTGGTTCTCCGTGGCGTCTCTGTCCTGGTTCTCCCATGGTGTCTCTGTTCTGGTTCTCCCGTGGCGTCTCTGTTCTGGTTCTCGGTGGCGTCTCTGTTCTGTTCTCCGTGGCGTCTCTGTTCTGGTTCTCCATGGCGTCTCTGTCCTAGTTCTCCGTGGTGTCTCTGTTCTGTTCTCCGTGGTGTCTCTGTTCTGGTTCTCCGTGGCGTCTCTGTTCTGTTCTCCGTGGCGTCTCTGTTCTGTTCTCCGTGGCGTCTCTGTTCTGTTCTCCGTGGCGTCTCTGTTCTGGTTCTCCATGGCGTCTCTGTCCTAGTTCTCCGTGGTGTCTCTGTTCTGTTCTCCGTGGCGTCTCTGTTCTGGTTCTCGGTGGTGTCTCTGTTCTGGTTCTCCGTGGCGTCTCTGTTCTGGTTCTCCGTGGCGTCTCTGTCCTGGTTCTCCGTGGCGTCTCTGTCCTGGTTCTCCCATGGTGTCTCTGTTCTGGTTCTCCTGTGGTGTCTCTGTTCTGGTTCTCGGTGGTGTCTCTGTTCTGGTTCTCGGTGGCGTCTCTGTTCTGGTTCTCCCGTGGTGTCTCTGTTCTGTTCTCCGTGGCGTCTCTGTTCTGGTTCTCCCATGGTGTCTCTGTTCTGTTCTCTGTGGCGTCTCTGTTCTGTTCTCTGTGGCGTCTCTGTTCTGGTTCTCCCGTGGTGTCTCTGTCCTGGTTCTCCCATGGTGTCTCTGTTCTGGTTCTCCTGTGGTGTCTCTGTTCTGGTTCTCGGTGGTGTCTCTGTTCTGGTTCTCGGTGGCGTCTCTGTTCTGGTTCTCCCGTGGTGTCTCTGTTCTGGTTCTCCTGTGGCGTCTCTGTTCTGGTTCTCGGTGGTGTTTCTGTTCTGTTCTCCGTGGCGTCTCTGTTCTGTTCTCTGTGGCGTCTCTGTTCTGTTCTCCGTGGCGTCTCTGTTCTGGTTCTCGGTGGTGTCTCTGTTCTGGTTCTCGGTGGTGTCTCTGTTCTGTTCTCCGTGGCGTCTCTGTTCTGGTCTTGCCTGCGTTGGCCGGGCTGGAGATGGAGCCCAGAGCCTCACACAGCGCTCTACCACCTGGACACACCGCCACTGCTTTTGCTTTAGTCTTTTGTTTTCTAATGGAGTCTCCACTTTTGCCCAGCTGGGACCCTGTGGTTCTCCTGTCTTCACCTCCTCCATGGCCAAGATTACAGGGAGGAGCGACCACTCTGGCTCAGGACGTGCTTGGTGTTTTGCTTTTCAGGTTTTTTTAAGTTTATTTTACTGTAAGTAGATGTGCAGAGGGGTTGCTGTTGCATAGGTGATCAGTACATTTCTTGTCGGACATTGTTACCCCTCACTTTTCTCCCACTTTCCCTCCCCCAACTCCCCTCCCTCCCAAGGTGTAAAGCTCATTTCCGACAGAGTGTCTAGTGACTACCGCTGTCGCATACTTTGTCCTTTGTTTCACCATTTTGTTATTCCCCTTTCCTTATATACAAGACAGGGAACGAAAATCAAAGCCAGTGACCACCAAAGGGAAAAAAAATGAAAGAAATAACTTCACAGAGTACATTAAAAACAAAACCAAAAAATAACCCTCTGTGTCCTTATCTTGGAGTTCATTCTGATTAGCATCATTTTATATGGTCCTAGGTACATAGCTATTGAGCTCTGGTGATCCTTTGTGAGGACTATCCTAGACACAGACTGGTTATTGCAGATTGATGTATATATAGGTGGTCTTCCTCTGACTTGATCAGAGGTGTGAGCCTGAGGCAGTGGTGGCTGAGCCTGGCTCTCTGATATGAGTCCTTCCTTTCGGTTGTCACTGCCACCAGCCACACGCGTGTCACTATCTCCTGCACGCCCACTATGTGGCCCAGCCCTTGCTGCTGCTTCCCCACTCCTGAAAGGATCCTCTGCTTCTCTCGGGTCCTGTTTCCCCCACGGGTAAGCTCTGTGGGGCTGCTGGGCCTCTGCGTCCACACCTGTCTTCCTTCACTAGAGCTTCCTCCACCTCCCTAGCCCCTCCCACACCCCCCCACAGGCCCGTGTACCCTTGGCCTCCCTGTGCACCAGAACTTGGTCAGTCAGGTAACCGAGTTCCCGGAATCCACCATTACCACTGAGTGCTCACGCCAGGAGAGCTTGGAAAGAAGAAAGCAGCAGAGGGGAAGTTCCCATCCCATCAGAGTTGTTTACCGTTTTTATTAATTTTTAAAATTGCCTTTAAACAGTTGTACCAAGGGGCTTTCATTCAACATGTCAATTTATGACTGCATATGTATGCACCTATCTATATAATATTGTGACTTGTGGTGGTTGTTGCTTATACATCACAGCGTCTTTTTCTGAGAGAGCAGATGAACTGCACCTCGTGTTTGCAGCAGCCTCTCCCGCTGATCACGTGACCCAAGGAGGAGGAGGAGGCAGCAGGAATTGTTAATTCTGCCTTTTGAATCTTAGCCCTGTGGTTACCCAGTGCGATACATTACTTGTCTTTATTTGCAATGCCATACTTCCCCCTGGTGGAAACAATCAGACGCTACCAATTACTATCTTCAGCGTCCAAAGTCCCTGCCAGTGGACTGGAAAGACCCTCGAAAGGAAGATGTGGTCTCTGCTTCCAGGCTTTTCACCCCTGAATCCATTTTTCCTGTGGTTGAAAATGTGGGTTTTCCCTCCATACCTAAGGGTGTTGCCTATGGCCTTGCCACTTACATTCTTTGGCAATGTTCTTGGAATGAAAAGGCGCAGACGTTGAGAGACATTTTGCTTCTTTGGATTTTATCTATTAATATGCTTTACCAGTGGAGACCATGTTGAGAAAGATAACCCAAGCTTTTAAAAAAAAGCCAAATTATGCACATTTGTACTCATCTGTGGATTCTAGACCTCAAAAACATTCTAGCATAGAAATGAGAGAAAAGCTCAACAAAGCTGAAAGTCAGCCTTTAAGTAGACTCAAAGCAGTGCACTAAACATGTAGCACTTAAAGAGCGTGTCCTCTTCACAAGTCCTCCATTTTCAGTGAGCAAAGTAAAAATTAAAGACCAAAATATATGTATATATATTTTTAAAAGGGACTAAGCCAAATGAGAAAAGAAGAAAGTATAGATTCTGAAGTCATCAAAGAATTTTTTTTTCTCCCTGGCATCAGGATTTTTAACTCAAGACCTCACACTTGTGAGGCTGGTACCCTGGGACCTGTGAGCCATGCCTCTACTCTAGCTTTTTGCTGGTTATGTTGAAGATGGTAACTCATACACTATTTTGCAAAGGCTGGCTTCAAACCATGATCCTCCAGACTTTAGCCTTATGAGTTGTTACTATTATAGATATGAACCTGTAGCATGTTCAACAAATAAAGGATAACATAGAAAGAGTCGGGAAATTCAACAGAACTGATTGCACCAGTAATAAATAGAGTGCTTCTGTTATCTCCTGACTTACATTCTTCAGATAGATGCCCAAGAGTAGTACTGATGGTATTGTAAGGTAGTTTTATGTTTTGTTTTCAGAGAAAACTCCATACTGATTTCCATAGTGGCTACACTCATTTACAGATTAAAAACCCTTAGAATTAGGGTAGTCAAGAAAGTGGCAGAGTACTTTGTCCCTTCTGTCCTCCGCCACATTTGTTGTTTATGCTCTCAATGATATCCTTCCTGCCTGGAGTGTGGTGGTGGAATCTCTGTACCATTTTGCTTTTCATTTTCTCTATTGCCAGGAATGTTGAGCATTTCTTCATGTACTTGTTGGCCATTTAAGGTAGTGTCTGCTCAGTTCATTTATTCATGTACTAATTGGACTAATGACCCTAAGTTATGTAAGCTCCCGTATGAGAGTTATGAGACTCTCATAACTCCCATTGGGCTATGAGACTCTCCAGCTGCAGTGTTTTGGGGGTAGTCTTTTGACTTCTTTAGATCATATCACCTGCAAGTTGAGATAATTTTACTTCTTCCTTTTCTATTTGAATTCCTTTTATTTCTTCTCTTGCCATATTGCTTTGATAGAAACTCCAGGTCTATATTAAATAAGAGTAGAGAGAGTGGACACCTTGTCTTGTTACATTACAAGAAAAAGGAGCAGGTTTCACCACTTAGTATGATGACAGCTATAGGTTTGTCATACATAGCTTTACTATACTAAAGTATGGCCCTTCTACTCCTCATCTTCTTCCAAGCTTTTATCATAAAAAGAAGTTGAATTGTGTCAAGGGCTTTGTCTGAATCAGTTGAGATACTCATATGATTCTTGTCCATGGTGCCCATGGATTTGCATATGTTGGTCCTGTAATGAAACCAAGTTGGTCATGGCATACAGTCTTTCAGATTAGCTGTTGAATTTGGTGAGCAAATATTTCATGGAGGATTTTTGTGTCTGCGTTCATAGTTGGGTCTGTAGTTTTTGTTGCCCCTTTCTAGTGTTGGGATGCTGTAATGCTGGCTCCAGAGACTGAGTTCACTAGTGATCCCTCCCTTTTCATTTCATGGAAAAGTTTGAGAGGTATTTGCTTTAGTTCTTATTGAAAGATCTTGTACAGTTCAGCAGCGAATCCATTGGGTCCTGAATTCTGTTGCTGGATTCTCAATCCCATTGCTTAAGATAAATCTGTTTAGGTGATTTATCTTCTCTTGGTTCAATTTTGTTGATTTTTATCGTTTCTTTTTAGCCTCTACTTTATTGATTTCTGTCATAGTCTTTATTATTTCCTTTCATCTACTTTTGTTTTTGGCTTGTTCTTATTTTTCTAAGACCTTGGGATGCATCATTAAGGTATTAATTTGAGATCTCCCTGTCTCATTGACATCAGCTTTACACGCAGAACTGCTTTAGCTGGGTCCCAAATGTTCTGATTCCAAATGTTCATCGGATTCCAAGAATTTTTTGTTTCCCCCTTTTCCCTTCAATTAGATACTCAGCATTCAGCAATGCCTGTCCAGTCCCTGTGAGTTTTAATATTTTCTGTAATTTCTTTTGCTGTTACGTTCTAATTTTATTCCAGTATGATCTGACAGGATATAGGGAGTTATTCCCATTTACCCATATTTACTGAGACTTCTTTTGTGTCCTATTATGTGTTCTTTTGGGGAGAAAGTTTCCTGGGATGCTGACAAGAATGTGTAATGTATAGCTGATGGATGAATTAGTCTGTAGGTATCTGTCAGGTCCAATTGGTTTATGGTGTCACTTAGCTGAGGTTTGTTTGTGGAGATTTTGCATGGATGACCTACCCTTTGGTGGCAGTCTGGTACTGACGTCTCACACTATTATTCTGTTGGAGTTGATGTGCATTTATAAGTCCAATGGTAT